AAGCTGTATGCACAGAATACAGGATAAGTACATACTGCTTTACTTACTATATTTAAAATTAGTAATTAGAAGTGTATACTGTACTGCTGCAATAAGAATTATACAAATTTTTAATTCCAAACATACAAAAAAGACATACAAATTTCTTAAAAGTTTAATCAGTATCACCACAGAACGCATTTTGGCCTGCCTGACCCTAACCCACATAAACAGCTTTTATAATCTACATTAATAACTAATAATTCACTTGATGATAAAAAAAACAACAACAATGAATTTCATTATCAGTTAGGAACCCTGAAGTGACGTAAGCCAGGCGACAGCGATGTCATTTAACCATGATGGAGGAAACAGAAGTATCTGGGTTCAGTGCATCTATCACTGTTTTCCATGTTCGTGGAGTAACTCTATGTAAACTGTGTTTACACGTCTTTTTAAAAATGGCAGGTGCTGGTGTTTCACATGGCATATGTTCGGCCACTCAAAATACACTTACAACACTTGTAGTTCCTATTGTGCTGGGTTAGACTCTACTCAGAAGTAGGAGCTAATTTAGTCCCCTCAAAAGGCATTGCTATGAATAAAACTGTATCCAGTCCCGGCAGTCTGAACACGCCAAAAAGCAGGTATGCCAATAGTTACAGGAACATGAAAATGTTCCTCTGGTGCAAACGCCTCTTTACATTACTTCATTACTGAAAAACGTCATCTGATTACAGTAACGTGTCACTATGATAAGAAAAGGGAATGATGTGTGTCCTGGCAGAAAATTCTTCCTATTCCTGTTAACAATTAAAGGGGTCATATGATGCGATTGAAATTTTCAAATTCTCTTTGAAGTGTTACAAGCTATTGGTGCATAAAGAAGATCTGTAAAGTTGCAAAGACTAAAGTCTCAAATCCAAAGAGATATTCTTTATAAAAGTTAAGAGTCAACCACGCCTACCTAAAACGGCTCGTTCTAACACGCCCCCACATGTCTACGTCACGATGTGGGAAGATTTGCATAACGCCGCCCAAATGTTCACGCAAAGAAAGAAGGCGTAACTTTTATTCTCGCTGTAGTATTGTTGTTGCCGCCGCCGCCATGTCGTGAAGGCGCTGTGTGTTTCGTTGTAAAAGCGAAACTACTTTGTTTGGCCTTCCAAAAGAGGACGATATCCGCTTCGTCATGCCTAGCTGATCCGTGCTGGTCACTGAGGACTGAGAAATACATCAACTTCGCGCTGTGAATCGCCGGATCGGCTTTCAACGTGGATGAAGCGGAGTCCAGTAGAGGAGAAAGAATAATGTACAGTATGTGGAAAATAATGTGTTTTTTGAACCTTAAACCACATAAACACATTTCATTACACCAAATACACCAAATAATGTTCTTTTTAGCAACATCATATGACCCCTTTAATTTTGGTTTGCTTTCTTTTAAAGCGATAGTTCACCCCAAAGTAAAGTCATCATTTACTCACCCTCATTTTGTTCCAAACCTGTATGACTTTCTTTCTTCTGTGGAACATAAAATAATATTTTTTGAAGAATATTGGTAACCAAATAATTTCAGTTTCCTTTGACTTCCATTGAAATTTTTATTGATCCAATTGAAGTTGATGGAAACCGAATGCGTTTAATTACTAGAATTCTTCGAAATATCTTCTTTTACTGTGTTTATGTTTCAAAGAAGAAAAAAATGTTTTGTAATGACATGAGGGTATGGGTAAGTTGACAGAATTTTAATTTTTGTATGAACTATCCCTTTAATATTATTTAATATCATTTATTTGGTCATTTAAAATGTTTTGTTATGTTTCTTTATATCATAACCTCTACATTTCAAAAATAACCAATAGAATAATCAATTATCAAAAGCCCCAATCTCAATCAAAAGTGAATAGAGTGAAGACGCTGACCTGAGGAATGCAGTCTGTATACGCGAACATGGATTTAGATTTGTCGTCCACGCTGATGTGGTAGAGGATACGCATCGCTATGTGCTTGTGTGTGTCATCACCTACAGAAAAGATGAGAAAAAAAATCTTCAGGGAGATTCACAACGCATGTAAACTTTTCAAGCGCTATCTAAATTGATCAGTCGCGGTCAGTTAGGTAATGTATTTATACTGGCTCGTGCTGAGAGCGAGTCATTTATCACGGAGATTATAGATAAGAGCATGTGGGGTATGTGATTACAATCCAAACTCAGTCCACAAGGGAGAGAGAGACTGCAGATACACACGCACCACACACACTCACGCTTCTCCCTACAAACACTCTCATTAATAACACTTTTCGCCCTCCTCCTCTTCTTCCCTAATGCTGATCCTCCCCTGTGAGATAGGAAACACTCAGATAGAGCAATGGCATAATCAGTCATTATGAGTCCGACCGTGGCAGTCGGGACCCGAGACACCCTAGAACACATTATCACATCGGCGATTAGAAGCAGATGTGACTGCTGGGGATATCAGGATAAAAAAGGAAGAGAGAGTGAGGGAAAGCTGAGTAGGTAAAGAAGAGGTTTGCTTAGTTTATTTAATTGGGAACACAGGAGGAGGCATATAGTGGCATTAATAAGCGAGGGCCGTCCTGGGCGGTCCTTCGGTGGCGGAACATGTGCTTCTCGTTAGCGGCCGCAGACTGCGTTGACCCTCAGCGAGAGTAAGCGGAGACGGACTTTACGACAGCAGCCAGGCATTCTCTTAAACTCAGCCCTAACTGTTGAAGCGTAAATGGCTAACACATTGAAAAAATGCACAATTAAGCCCTTAGATGTAATCACGAGAAGGATTTACAAAGCAGCTTCTACTTCATTTCGATGTGGAGGAGTCATTCGAGCTGGTCAGGAACAGAGATGCATGTCATATGATGCATCAAATTACTAGAAATATTGTGGTGGATGCCTGACAGAGATGCATGAAAAGTGCTGTTGGATTGTTGTGAACGACTGAAAATGAAAACAGACACAAAGAGGAATTATTCTCCTCTGACATGACCAGCTGAACTCATAATCACTGGGTAAATGTGTTCGGCTTCACTTGAGTCAGGGTATCTGATAGAAATGGCCACAATTCAAGCCAAACCTCCATCATCTGCACCAGCTTCTGCCAAAGCAGGTTCTCGGTTTCAGTGTAACTGTATATTCTACAGCTTGTAAAAACAACTATTCTGATGTAGATCATATGGTGGTTTTCAAACATTTCAACATTACTGATTTTCCAACGCAAATCCTTGGATGCAACCTTAAATAGTCTCTTTCTAGTTTGAAGATAAGAGTGTATAATACACATCTAAAGATAACTTTAATTTGAAACCTTACAAATGTAATTTTTCCATTAACCTCACTCATGCGAGTTTTCGCTCATTGCGTGCTGGGCCAAAAAGGTTTATTTCAAATGGAAAAGAGGAAAATTATATTATCCAGTTCATTTTTAATCTACTGCTTTAAGAAAGTAACATTTCTGGGATTGGATTAGATGTGCAAAGAGTTGGTCTACAAGCTTTTCTAAATTAGACGTTTTCAAACAGGTCCAGGGACACCTATTAAGAAGGTGCACAAAAAAATTAAAGAGGAAAAAAAGATTTTGCAAAATGTATTTTTAGGGTTGTTAAAGTTACCTTAAGAAATAAAGTAAATGTTTTTAACATTATTTATCATTTTTCAACAAATTTGACACTATTACCATTTCATTTTTCAACTTTTAAAAAGTTGTTGGAATTTTATGTGATTAATATTAGTTATGTGACTAACACTGAATTTATAGCCGTAGTTTTTAAACAGTAAGAAAGAAAAAACAAATAATAATAATAATAATAATAATTTATATATTAATGTTTGGGGTTGGTAAGTTTTTTTTTTTAAAGAAAGGAATACTTTTTATTCATTAGATAGTAAATACATTTATAATGTTGCAAAAGATTTTTCTATTTTAAATAAATTATGTTTTCTTTATCATTCTATTCATCAAATAATTCTAAAAAAAAAAAAAATAATATATATATATATACAGTATCTCACATTAATAGCTAGAAGAAGAATTCTTTTAGAGTGGAAATCACCAATGCCACCTAAATTGTCACTATGGCTTAGTGATGTAATGTTTTTTCTAAAAACTGAAAAAATCTAATATTTTCTAAGAGGATCAACCAGAACGTTTTACAAAACATGGGATCCTTTAATAATCTATATATCGAGTAGAATGTACTCCTCTAACTTTGAGCTATTTTTTGATGAATAGAAAGTTCAAAAGAACAGAATTTGAAATCTTTTTATAACATTACAAATGTCTTTACTGTCTCTTTTGATGAATTTAATAATATATATACATTTTTTAATCATACTTATCACAAACTTTTGAATGACAGTGAATCACAGTTTCCACGAAAATACAAAGCAGCAAAAAGTTTAACATAATGGTAACAATAAGAAATGTTCTTGAGCACCAAATCAGAAAATTAGAATGATTTCTGAAGGATCATGTGACACTGAAGACTGGAGTAATGATGCTGAAAATTCCCCTCCCCATCACAGGAATAGGTTACATTTTAAAACAGATTCAAATAGAATACAGTTATACGTTCTTTTAGATTGTTATAATATTTCACAATATTACCAGTACTGTTTTTAATGTATTTTTCATCAAATAAATGCAGGTTTGGTAAGCATAAGCGACTTCCTTTAAAACATTCAAAACACTTAAATATTCCAAACTTTTGACCAGCAGCGTTTAATGATTTTATAACTCATGAAATTGTATTTCAAAGCTTCTGATGTGTTTGACACCAAGAAGATCTCACCATGTCATTCTTGTTCTCCAAGAAGATGCTGAGCTTTTTGAGGAAGGAGACCACCAGCACCAGCAGCTCCTCATTGTCCCTCTCTAGAGACTTGACCAGCAGGTGCACAATGTTCTTGTTCCTCATCTTGAGCTCCGTGCGGGTGTCCTCAGACAGATTCAACAGCAGGTAGAACGCAACTAGAGTCATGGGGAGGAAAAGGAACACATAAACAAGGCCTCATGGATGATTCCTACTACACTGTGCCACATAAAACATTTCACTTCCTGTACCTCGCAGCAGCTGCTCCTGTTTGACCAGGAGGCTTTGGTATTTCTTAAGGGTTTTCTCATGCTCCTTCCGCAATCTCTGGTTTTCGGGGTCCTCGTCACGTGGATATGTTTAAGGAATAATCTAGTTCGTTTATCACATTTATTTTGTGCTATTAATTTTTTGATTGAAAAGAGAGTGACAGAAAGGATATAAGCCTTGCTCTTCTTCTCTAACTCATCCTGCCACAGGTCATATTTCTTCAGCTCATGCTCGATGATGTTCATGCACAGTGCGCCAATCTTATAGTGCGTAATGAGTCCATGGAACTGTGAGAAACTGCAGGAAGAAAACGAGTGGTGAGGGTCTGTCCTCCCCCGACCTCTCCTGGCACATTCTGCCAGACACTGATGCATGCGATGCAATCTGAGAACTAGACAATGGCTGGTATGCAGAGACACCGAGACGGACGTGCCAGATGAATTTCATACTCTAGTCCTGATTAGTACATAAACAGAACTGAAAGATCGGGCCAAACAACTCATCATACATTTCAAATACATCCTTCAAACGTCGAAGACATTCTAGCTTGTGAAAAAAATTTCCACATTAGCCATCTGCAAATGAGAGCCAAGGAAAACCATCAAATGAGAGCATACACTTTAATAGCTCAAATAAATGCTGACAGCTATCTCAGTGAAAGCAGTAACCTGATCTGCAGCTACTAAAGACATTTTGAGAGCGTATCCTGGTTTTCTTAAGGCTTTCAACCTCATACAAGAGCTATATCAGAATGATATCTGGTATGCAATCTGCTTCTATAAAAAAATTTAAAATGGATGTAGTATATTAATCCTCCAAAACAGAATATGCTGCGTACTTGTCCCTCTACACTACCGTTCAAAAGTTCAGGGTCAGCAAGATTCAATGTATTTAAATGAAGTTTCTTATGCTCACCAAGATTGCATTTATTTTATCAAAAATACAGTAAAAACAGTAATATTGTGAAATAATATTTAAAATACCCATTTTATATTTGAATATGGTTTTAAAATGTAATTTACTCCTGTGATGTCAAAGCTGAATTTTCAGTAAATATTACTCCAGTCTTCAGTGTCACTTGATCCTTCAGAAATCATTCAAATATCCAGATTTAGTGTTAAAGAACTATTTCTAATTATTAATTAAAAAAAATAAGTTGCGCTGCTTTATATTTTTGTAGAAACCAATACTTTTTTTCAAAAGAACAGCATTTATTTGAAATACAAATATTTCGTAACAATGTAGAAGTCTTTACTGTCACATTTGACCATTTGAATGCATCCTGAATAACAGTATTAATTTCTTAAAAAAAAAAAAAATCTTACTGGCCCCAAACGTTTGAACAGTACTGTACATATTTTCAAAATCTACTAGTTATGAGTTATCTGAATGGCTAGTTTACTAGTCATAAGGAAGCCACATAAAGTGTTTTTGTGTTCAAAAACAGCTGGATGGAGTGCAACAGATGAGATGTATTTAAAGTAAGTCTTTGTTTGTTCCCAGACTCCCCACAGAGACTTACAGATTACGTTCAGATCATAACAAAAAAACTGCTCACAGTAGGCGAATTAAAGTCTGATTGAAAGTGATTGTTTTGAAATGTAATTTTGAAGCACTGAATTTGTTATTTGAAGCTGTGTTTCGATGGCCGCAGCGGTGATGCTAAAAGGGGTTGAATTTGGAGACGCCACTTCTCAGAGAGAGTTCACCATGCCAACAGCACACTAAAGATCAGCACGCTGTCAGCACACTAAAATCCTCCTCGAACACTGTCTACCTGATTCTATTTCAGGCCCTTTAATGCACCACAACAAAAATGAATATGGCTGTTGACAAAAAGACCAAATAAACTGTACCAAAATTGTGTACCTTGAGAAGCAGAAGAAGATGTCGACGATAGTAGTTGCTAGCTCCACACTGTGCTTCCAGTCCTCTCTCAGTACCCGGGCCAGAGCTCCAAGAACAATCTCTGAAAAACATCAAACTCATAAACAACCAGATAATCCGCCAACTTCTTTGACAAAATCAAACATACACTGCAAGAGCAGTCAGGACCACTGAAGTCACTGCTGTCATGTGGCAGTTCATGACTTTTCATATGTTCATGACGTAAATCTGTTGCAGAATAATAACACTGTTGACAGTGAATTGAGAAGAAAAATTTGCAATTTTAGTACCATTATGTAGGAGCTCCTCCAGGTTATCAGGGATATGAGCCAGATGCAGGATCAGAGTGGAGCCTCTAATCTTCTCAGGGATGCTCTCATACAACAGCTCAATGTAATCATCGATTTTATTAATGTTGGCCTCCTCATCAATCTGGAAAAATAGTATCATGGTAATGCATCAACTTTTTATAAAACTAACGTCAATCAAAGCTCCCAATCAACTAAAATAGTTACGTTTGCCAAATTTCAAGTCAACTCGTATTTTTATATCACTTTTCACAATACACATTGTTTCAAAGCAGCTTTACAGAAATGCCTGATGTTAATAATATCTTACTGCCTTATAGCTGCATTTAGAAGATTACAGCTGGTCGATAATATATAGGCCTAGTTTACATTTTATAATGATTCAAGCAATCAAGCAGTTGAGATATGCTATATAATATAAACTGTTATATATATATATATATATATAACATCCTATGTGAGAATACTGTATACGTGTGGATAAAGCTGGATATACTTACAGTAAATATACACATTTATATAAAGAGCTGGGAGATAATATGAAGAGTTTGGTTCCAAAACGCTATAAATCCATTTTGATTAATTTGAGTAAAAATGTGTTTTCTTTACCAAGAAAGTGGCAAGATGAAAACCACTATTTTCTGTTTCAAACTTTCACGTAGCATCTTTAGGTTATAACATTAAAAATTCAAATCCAGATTTTGATTAAAAGGGAGAAAACATGACAAAATAACTTGGCGGATATCGCATTTTGAGTAAAATTAAAAATGGACTTTTCAATACCGACCAGATACAATACTGATTTTGGCGGAAACTCAAATTTTTTTTAAAATGGCGTTTATTGCGTTTTGGAACCAAACTCTTCATATATTCACATTTTGCAATGAAATAAAAAAATAAAGCAGTTAGTAAAGCTGATGTACTATGTATAAACCACCTACTAATATATCGCTGGCTGATAATATAGTTTACATTTTTCAACAATATAACAATCAAACAGTTGAGATTTGCTATAGTGTATCAGAGTTAACACATTCCAGAAAGTAAGTAGTAGGACTGTTATGTAAACACACAGACCTCCGTTGTTATTAACATTTCTATCAAGGAAGTTGTTTTACTCGGTGGTGAGATTTCATTTGTTGAGCTTCAATAATGATTAAATTACACCAAACAAAGACTGCAAATTACTTTAAATGTACCATCTGGGTTTGGTTTATATATAATTTGGAAAGAAAAAGACACTTGAACTGTGGATCAGTTTCAATCTGGTTTGAATTAGTTGGTAAAAATCAGACACAAGTTACAGAATAAATCCGTTATCATGTCAAATTAGATATAGGCGTTAAACATATTAAAAATTAGCATAATTCGGCATTTGTCGCGGTTTGGAAAAAAAGGGAGAAAACATGACAAAATAACTCGGCGGATATCGCATTTTGAGTAAAATTAAAAATTGACTTTTCAATACCGACTAGATACAATACTGATTTTGTCGGAAACTCACATTTTTTTAAAATGGCGTTTATTGCGTTTTGGAACCAAACTCTTCATATATTCACATTTTGCAATGAAATAAAAAAATTAAGCAGTTAGTAAAGCTGATGTACTATGTATAAACTACCTACTAATATATCGCTGGCTGATAATATAGTTTACATTTTTCAACAATATAACAATCAAACAGTTGAGATTTGCTATAGTGTATCAGAGTTAACACATTCCAGAAAGTAAGTAGTAGGACTGTTATGTAAACACACAGACCTCCGTTGTTATTAACATTTCTATCAAGGAAGTTGTTTTACTCGGTGGTGAGATTTCATTTGTTGAGCTTCAATAATGATTAAATTACACCAAACAAAGACTGCAAATTACTTTAAATGTACCATCTGGGTTTGGTTTATATATAATTTGGAAAGAAAAAGACACTTGAACTGTGGATCAGTTTCAATCTGGTTTGAATTAGTTGGTAAAAATCAGACACAAGTTACAGAATAAATCCGTTATCATGTCAAATTAGATATAGGCGTTAAACATATTAAAAATTAGCATAATTCAACATGTTTAATTAATCACATATGTTAACACATTCACTTTCTCAGCTCTAAGTACACATAAAATGTGTAACTTAAAATGTGCGTACTTCCATTCCTTCAAATGGCAGAAGTTCTCTGGGTTTCGATGGTTTCTTTTCCTTTTTCTCCACTAAGGACAGACAACATTAAAACAACAAGTGCTGTCACCATTAAATGTGAACATTACTAAAACAAAAAGATTGTGAGTTGCTCATATAAAAGTCCACCAAAAAATTCTTAATTGGGAAATATGTTTTAAAGAGGTACTTACATTTACTGCTGGGCTTCTTTCGGTTCTGTAAATACAGCAGCAGATGTTCCACCTCCGCCAGCTTTGATGGATGAATGACTTTACACTCTTCCACCACCTTCCCGGCCAGGGCGGAAATATCAGTGCTGGCATTCAGACTCCTCAGCCGGATGCTAAACAACAAACACAGACACAAATGTGTAAAAAAAAAAATCAATAAAGAAATGTAACAATGGAGAATATAAATGTGTGAACATGCTGTATATGGGTTTACAGCTTATCTCTGCTTACATTTTCTGGCACTCTTTCTTCTCCTCATGCCTGGCATTGCATGTCTCTCCTAAAATGGATGCTTCCACTTCATAGTACACCACTAGAGCCTTTTCTGTTGGATGCACATCTATATCACCAGTCCTACAGTTCCTAATAGACACAGGAGAGATCAAGATTGGATGTGACAGTGAGTTGCATTAAACACTGGCAGTGTCTCAAACCCTACAGTGAGCTGCCAAACCTAAACAGCATTTCTGGGCAACGCAAGAGCGTTCATCATAGGTGCAGATGACTAGGAAACCGCCCAAAAATATGACACAAATGTCTACATGAGCCGAGACACTGGTATCATAAGGGGATGGTTACAATAGGCCACGCCCATCTGCAAGTGAAGCGGATGAATTTGACCCAGATTTACGTTACGACAATAGAAAATATAATAAAATAATTCGTCGAAAATAAAACCGGTGAGGGCAAACTCACAGATTATAATCTAAACATGATTAAGATTAGAGGTGCAGTGCCTCTCCTTTAATGGATGGAAATAATCGACTCAACATAACGCTGTCATATTGTGATGTACGTTTAAGATAAATGTTAAACTTACCGTTGCAAATACTGCGACTCGTCCGGCTGCATTTTATTCCGTTCATGTGAAAGCACGAGACGTCGGTTTGGTTTGGTTTGGTTTGCTGTTCAGGCTGTTGACATGAAGGCGAATCAAAGCATCTCTCATCCGCACCGCACTTCTCCACTGATCCGCTATCACATCTGATGAGTCGGCGAGGGACAGACGCCTGAGCTGAGCGCGCTCGCCATCTGGAGGACGGGAGTAGACCGAATACTGCAAGTCCAAGGTTTGCAACAGCAGTGTCTCTTTTAAAAATGTTTTTTTTTTTTTTCATAAATAATAATATAATGGTATAGTATTTCCAGATTAATTGTTGGAATAAAAAGGCTGTCTCTAAAGAAGTTAATTATATGTTTTATCTTAGGCTACAACTCATCTTAAAATCGTACAACTTAATTACAACAGACAAGCATTTCTTCATATAGGGAATTCATATTTATTTGTTTGTTTGTTTATGCATTTTTGATAAGGTAAATACGTGGTAAATAAACAACTTTGTCTAACATTGTTTTACAGTAAGTTAACAAACTTTTCCATAAGTCAACAAACACGCATTTCTTCATATTTATTTATTTATTTATTGCTGTTTTTTTAAATAAGATAATTAGATGGTAAATAAACAGCTTTGTCCAACATAGTTTTACAGTAAGTCGAGCTAATGGTAATGTTTCCATAAGACAACAGACATATTTCTTCATTAGGAATTCATATAGAGTGTGGCATTGATTATATTACTGCAGTAATTCGTTTATTTAAAAAATATATTATAGGGAGTATTGGATTATTTTATGGATGGATTTATATTCAGTAAGATGTGATTCCTGTTTGATGGCATTGCTGATTTTAGAGCTGTCCAGCTGCAGAATTCTCGTATCCTGCTGATCTTTCCAGCTCTTCTCTGTTTTACACTTCAAAACAGGATGACAGATTAGTTTTGTCTGGCAACCAATCCAAAACCCATAGGTGAATGTTAAAAGCAAATACTTAGATAAGGAGCTTCCCTGCTAGAGTTTCACACAGTGTTGCTGTATTTTACTATTGGACAATGTTCCAAAATCAAAGTCACCATATGTTTATAATATATTTATGAGCAATGTTAAATTATGAGGTACCATAAACATCAGCCATTCTCACTTTCATGCTGATCTTCATTTCAACAGTGAACACCAATTGAGTGTGCTACATTTTAAAAGACTGAGAGAATCCGTAATGTTTGGGAATAGTGAAAACAATGTCAACAGCATCGGGTGGCCTATATATAGCGGTGTTACTAAACTCAGCAGACTATGGCACAGCACAGCGGATATACTCTCTACATGAGTTCCCACGGATTCAGTCTAGTGACCTTTACCAGTTATACAATACTATAATGATCTACGCTGGCTCACACACGTGAGTCATAGCATTACCCGAAACCAGTTTACCATAATTAAATGTTTTCATTTCTCATAATGAATCATCCAGTTGGATCCATGTACAGGTCAGCCCTTAAAAGCTGGCCAGCATTTTTAGGGATATTTCCAGGTTTAATGTTTTTTTGTTTTGTTTTTGTTTTTAGATGAATCACAGTCAGGGCTATAAGCTTTTTATAAAGTAATTGAGTGATGCCAATGTCTTCATGAAACAACAAACATTGAAACATACAATGCTAGTCCTTGAAAACATGTCAGCTTTTTTTAGGAATAATTTCAGGTCAAATACTTAACTCATGGGATTTTTTCCCCCAGATGCCAGGGCAAAATATTAATTCATTCATTAATTCATTCATTTGATAAGGTAAATAAATGGTAAATAAACATATTTGGCGGACCCACTTTATATTAAGTGGCCTTAACAACTATGTACTTACATTTAAATTAATAATTTGGTACAATGCACTTATTGTGTACATACATGTTTTTACATTGTACTTATATTTTAAAAATACCTGCATGTAATTACATTTGTAATTAATTTCTGTAATTACATTTATAATTACACAGTTGACCCATCCCTTACACCTTAACCCACCCTTAAACCTACCCATAGCAACAAACCTGTCCCTAACCTTACCCGTATCCGACCACAAAAGCAGCAAAAGTGTTTTGCAATACAATATGAACACAATAAGTACATTGTACTTCATTTTTGATGTAAGTACATAGTAGTTAAGGCCACTTAATATAAAGTGGGGCCTATTTGGCTAAAATATCCAAACAAACATAGTTTTACAGCAAGTTGAGCAAATGTTAATATTTCCATAAGACAACAGACCAACATTTAAAGCATATGTATAGGTTTAAAGTTGCACTCACATGGTACTTTTTCTTTTCTTTAGATATATCACAGTCAAGGCTAAACTTTCATTAATTTATTTATTTATTTTTGTTTGTTTGTTGCATTTTTTTATCATGTTAAAAAATGATACATAACACAGTTTTACAGTAAGTTGAGCAAATGCTAATGTTTCCATAAGACAATGTCAAGGGATATTTTCAGGTTTACGTTGCACTCCTGTGGTACCTTTTTTTTTTCAGATGTTTATTTCAGAACATTTATTTTTAGTCTTCCCATAAGACAGTAGACATTGAATCAGACACCAATGTCCCTTGAAAGCTGGCCAGTGTTTTAGGGATATTTTCAAGTGTAACGTTGCACTCATATAATACCTTTTCTCATTTTCAGATGCATCAGAGTCAGGGCTCAACTTTTAATGATTTCACTGGCTTCTGTTTTGAGGATTCACTGTATATCATGCCAATAACACATCGAGTGCCCGCTCTGCTCACAGTCATTTGCTAAAGCACATTTTTGCCCACCACGAAACACGATTCTTGTTTACCCGGCCCACCCTGCAAACCACCCTCTGACACATTAGAGCTGTCTAGCACGCACTGCAGCAGTAACAGCAAAGTAAAACAGTAATCCAACTAATTTGAAACATTTCAACGTGATTAACAGGCAAAGCTGTGAAATATGACTTTAATAATGGTAACAAATGGCTCCACTGCTGTCTGTCTGAGAATACGCAGAAGAGCTCTGGGGCTTATGAAAAAGGCGGCCCATTTGGTATATTACTGGCAGCGCATTTGTTATCAATGAAATGTGAAAATGACTGTGGTGTGACTGTTATGGTTATTGCAGACTGAACTGTTGATGAAGTTGCTGTCCTGTGGTTCTGTTGTAACTGAGCTGAAGGTACTTTCATGTGTCAGACTGTGGGATGTGTGTGGTGCCAGTGGGCTGACTGGATTGGTGCTGCCCTACATTTACGAGACAGCTTGTTTGTTTCACTACTTCATAACAGTGTGATTTTACTGTTGACAATTTGCGTCAATAAGGTATTTAGCTATATTTAGAGCTTTTACTGTTTTGACAGATTGAAAAAACATCGGGATACTGATTCCAAATGGAAACCATTTTTTATTAAAAAAAGAGCAACTTAATTATATCGGCTGAACTTTTTCAAATTGTGGCCAGAACATTGAGGGAACGTTTTTCAAACTACTGTGTGACCTTCAGGGTCATTACACTCACTTCAGAAGTCATTCCACTTCAAAAGCTACTTGACACTCGTTCAGTCCTCTGGCTTCCCTCTCATGTTTTATGCACATGCCTTGTATGACCTGTAGGTGAGCAGCACGCCATGCACGTCTGACACCAATAATATGCATAAGGTAACAGAACAAAATGGGATCAAACACAGGAGCCCTCATACTACATCACCACACAAACCATTCATACACTGTACACTAAAATTGATTTATTGACATTTTAAATAAAACAAAAGGGCTTTTCATACTGCGCTTAACCCTGGGTCATTGTTGCTCTAAACTCTGCTTTTAACCTCGGGTAAAAGTATGTTTCACACTTAGAAGCAGAGTTAGTACCACTTTTTTACCCTGGGTTATGAAACTCTGCTCCAGGACAGAGTTAGCACTGCTTTTGCAGCAACCAAACAGTTGATGGTGGCCATTGACTTCCATAGTATTTTATACTCTTTGGTTGCCCACATTCTTCAAAATATCTTCTTTTGTGCTTAACAGATGAAAGAAATTCATAGGTTTGGTATAACTTGAGGGTAAGTACATGATGACAGAAATTTAATTTTTAGGTGAACTATCCCTTTTAAAACACCCAGGATTATTGTTAACCCTAAGCAGTGAGAAACGTGAAGCAAGATAACCCAGGATTCAGTTTACCGAGGGTTTCGATTGACCCAGGGTTAACAATTTCAAGTGTGAAAAGCCAAGTTTTTTGAAGTACGTTTTACCTGAAAATACCCTTTCAGGGTTTTCTGCTTCAGTGTGTTTAATTCAGAGTGTCATTTCTTTGTAATTGTTTATGAAATTTACTAGCATTTTCTGATTTCCAATTTTTTTTTTCAGTTTACTGTCATTTTATAAAGTCTCTTTGCTTTTTATATTATAATAACTGTTGAAATGTAAGTCTTTGTAGGACACATTTCACTGTAACCTCCTGAGGCGGCTCCTTCTGAAAACAATTAACTGAAGGACTGCTTAGCATGGAGGCTCCCCTTGAGTCTTATAAGCGCCTTGGCCAAGTCCATCATTAATCAGAAGAAAAAACATGGCCACTGATCATAGTTTCATGTGCAGACTTATGTTGGCGCTGATGTGGAATGAAGATGCGAAGAGTTTCACAACGTGCATCTGCTCCAGAAAGAGTTAAGGAATGTTGTTCATTGTCACATGATGTGGGAGAAGACAGGCAATATTCAACACCCCCTCTCTGTCGGGCGCACATCTTGCCCGCAGATGTGGTGATACCACAAACACTTCAAAGTGCCTCCCCTCAGACCAACTGATATTCTGACGCCAACTGTAAATGTCCTGCACACGCAGAGTGGAAAATATGAAACCTTTTAAATGGCTCTGGAGGAACTCCTTCAGAAAAAGAAGCACTTCCATTGTGTCTTTGGAAAAGTTAGAACAAAGGAGCATTCTCATTCTCTCTGAAAGTGAATTAGGCCTCCATAAGCTGTTATGTGATGTTTAATGTGATGTTTTGGATTTGGGGTACTTTTAAGTGTCAAATGCTTTTGTACCAACAATATTCTGTTCAATACCGTGTCTTTGAAAAATGTTTTTGAAAAGTCTCTTGTGCTCACCAAGACTGCATACAGTTATATTGTAAAATTACAATTT